ATTGTTCTGAATGTCACAAGCCCATGGCCAACTACAACCTACCTGATGAAATAGATGCAGAAACAAAGCAAATTATCAGCACATTAATTAGAACAACGATCTGGACACCCATTCCTAAATTTATCTTCTGTATCAAATGTAAGCAATTCAACCCCAAACACATTCGGTAATTGAATTGAACTTTGATCATTTTATCCGATCATATATACCATAAAAACCACTTCGAGTTCCGGTATTATTCTACTTATGCACACATTCATTCACCTCGAGTGGATCAAACAAAATTATATTGGTCGTATTATAGTAGTCGTTCTTCGTTAAACCTCACCTGCCTGCGCAGTGGTAGAATACTACTTACAGTGGCGTATGAGTGGTGCGCGGGGACTCCCCCTCCCAAAAAATCGCGGTCAAGTAGTTAATAAAAATAACCTAAAATCCCTTTATTTTGCGATAAAGCGCCCCTCACTCCATCATAGAGCCCTCTCTATAAGATGTGTATAAGAGACCATCATCACCCCAATTTCAAGACTTCGAGATACGCCATTGCCTACTTAACGAAGAAGACCAGAAGAATAGAAAACTGGTAAATACCGGACAAGACAAAATGGCTGCGATAGTTGCGATTAAAATCACACGTAGGCATAGCACTTGAAACACAAGCACATAAAGTTTCATGCTGTTCGGCTTATAGGCCTAGGCCTTACTGTACCAATTAAATTCAGCACCTTATAAAATCATATCGTAAAACAATGAGTTGCCAGAAATATATGGCTATTAAAAATACTTTAAGGGATGCAGCATCGGTAGGTCTATGGATATCGAAGCTCATAATTTAAGCACACATAATATATTATAAGAGTGTTCTTATTTTTTGTTCATTGGCTCATTAAAACGAAAGGGGCGGACGACATGTTGCGTGATATTTTTTACCTGTCCTGTCGTCGTTTTGTTGCAAAGATCATCCATAGATATATTTTCAAGGATTCTGACTACATGATTAATTTGATGACATTCTTTTGTCTAGATGGTCAAATCACACGAAATAGTCGAAAGAAATATCACACTTAAATATTACAAATGAATGGAGAGTGGTGGGCCTACTGTCAAGGATCTCAACAGGGGTGGATCCTGAATTTTTCAGGTTGCAAATTGCAGATGGTTTGAATCAACACTACAATAGGAGCATGGTACACTGTCATGACGCAGGTGTACTAGATCCTTGGCCAAAATTCTCTAATTTATTGACTTTCAACTTTCGGAGAGCGCCTCCAGCGTTTGTTTATATCGTGAAACTTTTTACAGTAGCATAGTAGTATTTGCTGCGAAGCAGCCAATTCATATTCTTGACAGCAATTTGACCTCTGAAAGGTCATTGTTTGTCAAAAATCAATCGCCTGAGACAACTGAAAAGCGGAGTTTCCTTCTTTCGTACTGCCGGGTAAAATCAATTACTTTAGGCGACGTTTGTAGACTAACCTACTCGTACCAACGTCGGCATGTCGCGACGCTGGAGTACTATTCAGCGTTTTTACTATATTTCTAGGTTTCCTATTTCTACGTTTAATCGGCTCATGTC